ACATCTGGGCTCAAATTTTCGTTCTCACATAGTTACGCGAGCTATCCTGGTCAAGAAACTATTCAAATCCAACATTGCTGATGTAGATACTTGTACCCATAAGAGTGCTTCAAAAGAGGCTTCACAAGAAAGCACATTACCGTTCTGTCAGGCAAACGGCTCTAAAAGCTCTATAGATATAAAGTGCACAAAGGATTCTCCAGCAACTGGCTATGCGAAGAACGAAGTAAGCCTGCTGTGTATACCAGAGGGCAGCAAGGCATAGATGGCAACATTTCCAAGGCGCAGAGCGGATAAATGCTAAGTAGCTATCTCATGGACGGATCCAAGGAAAAAAACCGAATGAGGTCCACATGGTCTCAGACAGGCAAAAAGTTCATATCCATCTTAGCATTTTTAGCAAAAAGATCTGAACCAACTTGTCGACATATACAGAAGAGAGATTGGAATATTCGTACGTCTGCTCATTGTCTAGTGAAATGTCACCGAAAAACAATAGGTAGTGCAGAGAATGAATTCTGAAGATTTTGTGAATAAGCAACAGAAACAGCAGAACATCATCATCATGATGTCTCAGATAGGATTTTATGTTTTCTCGGATGCCCAATTCAATTTAAGCTTGCCTTTCTTGTCCTATGTTTTTTTTAGAACCCATTTCGGATTCAACATTCTAGATATATAACTTTTAGGAATTGCTTAATTTACATGTATTTTAATATCCCTACCCACAACTATTACTTTGGTTTAATTAATACTAATTTTTAGGCCCAATCTTTTACTGATTATTTATTAACCCGTTAGCGCCCACTATGATTTATCATACGAGAATCATTAGTTTAACTGAGGTTACATTATTGTTAACAAATTTAATTTCATTATATTGAGGATGAGTAATATTTTCTGTACATTTTGATTTCAGTAATATACCTATATGAGAGAAACCTGTTTCCGACACGGTTAAAAGTTTCACGAGGGTTCATACTTTTGACATCGAAGACGTCATAACTTGAAAAAAAGGGTTGTCGTAGATTAATTATTCATAACACATTCATTTTTTTCGACAAAAGCCGTGTTCGTTTTTGTCGATTTGCTCCGAAATTTTGATAGGCACCTGATTTGTAAATTGAAACTGGCTGATCCAGTCACGCGCCTGTCAAAATTTCGGAGCAAATCGACGAAAAAGATGACAATAACGAAGACGGCCAAATTAAATTGAATGACTTCTGGTTGAACCGAACAACGTTTTGCACATCATTGATTTGTTTCAGTCAATTTCTATTTGTTAAAAAAGGAAGGAAAATTATGTCAAAAGTATAGACCCTCGTTAAGTTTAGCCATTTCATTTTTGTCGTGCTCCCAGTCTAATATTTCTGGGTTTTGTACTTTCTTTCCTCCTCTGACAAGTTTTATTCATTATTCAACTGGATTTCAATAACAATCTTGTGTCTACATGTTTAAGCGATAAGTCGAGTATAATGGCACGACTGATGCTTTTTGCAATAACCAATCACCTACAGCTGTAAAGAATAAAACAACGGAACTATTATAGAATGATAATTGCAAAAAACTAAAAAAACTCATTCGTTCGGAAAAAGTATACTTGCGCGCGCTTATTTGTTATAAGATCGGTATTCCCGGTTATGCAAAGGTCATTAATACCGTAAAGTTAACATTTACGGTAATCGGCCCAGATGGATCTCGTCACGATTGCGCATTTAATGTCCTCCAGGCAAAAAAACAATATGTTTTCGATCTATCGAAAAGTGGCATCTTCGAATTCCACTTGATGAAACTCTCTCATTAACGACCCAGTGGGCCTACATACAAATTGAAAAGAGTTTATAAAAATATTATTTCATTGATACCGTTCGTATATATTGGAATCAATGCATTTTGGATTATCCAGTGCAAGTCTCAATATGGCGTGCACTTGACAAGCAGTCGAGACAAATTGACAAGAGACACTGGTCGATACTATCGAACATCATTACAATATCAAATAAGAAGAACAGCGATAGTGCTTGTTCACTGACAGTGATGTACTTACTTACTTAAACCACCGCTTTTAAATTATTTTTAAGAATAAAACATTGATTATTGTCTTTGTGTATAACTATGTCGTGTTTTTCTTTAATTTCATCGTAACATTTTATTTCTATTTTTATGGCGTATTCAACTGTCTGAGAGGCAAATTTATTTAGTTCGTTTTGTCGCCATGATATCAATTATTGAAATACACAAGAAAAAGAAATAGAATCTATAAGCTAACTTTGTTATATGAAAAAAAAAAAAAAAATGCAAATTTGAATGAGTTTAACAACACCGCATACAGATTTTTAAGACATTATAATTGCTATAAGTCAAATCATCAATACATTTTAGGATTATGCACGGTAGATTATACGAAAAACATTTTTATTTGAGAACTAGTTTTAAAAGATGAAAAGGAAGCATAAAAACACACTTTAATAGCAAGACGAAATTTGTGATGTGTTAAATAGCTTCCATCGCTCGGACTTGGTTATAGAGAGATGCGGCCCATAGATAAACATATGCAAAGCCGATTCATGGGATTATTTCAACTAGATGGAAATTTATTACCTACGAGTTTGTTAGCTATGGAAATTTCGTAATATATTTACATTGCATTACATGGGTGCGTGTGTAGGGAATTCGTGTTGAGTTCAGGCTCAGTTAGAGAGTAGAACCTTATATAGATAACGTGTTAAAAGTTCTACATACTGGTGTTACTTACGTATGGGTTCAATTGGTAATAATTTAGATAGGTTATAGCTGAACAAGAATTTGAGAGTCATATAACTGTTTCGAGTTAAAAACATAAACTAGTTAATTTCCTACATTTCGTTTTCGAGAAAATAGGGATGAATTGGTTATTTGGTTAAGTAGAAAGTATTAATTACTTCATTTGTGTCACAAACCAAATACTTACACTTTACTGATTAAAGTTATAAATTCCCAGCGAAGTGTAATTCTAGTTCAGACACAAGATTCTGCAACAGTGAACCTATTACCTAGATTCTGCTGCATTGTTCGAGAGTCATACTTTCAAGGTAACCGTGTCCGAAAATAACCGTAACAAGGATTTTAATAACTCGATCACGGATTTTAAATGTCAGTCAAGCGAAGTAAGTTATAGATTAAAATTATAGCCATTTAATAGAATTATGAATTAAATTTCCTGTACGCGCTACCCACCGGCCTGCAGGCTCTTCGAAGTGTGTTTTATTGTCTATAAGGTGGAATTTAGCCAGGAAATCGTGCAAATCCTGAACAACCATCACTGAAAAACTGACTTTTGCGAAAAAAGGTCGTCCAATATACAAATTAGACATATAAGCTAATTTTTATGCAAAATATTAAATATATGTTAGAGCACTAAACACGTTTACTTACTTGACCATATTTTAGAGAAACCTATATAAAATGATAGCCTATACCCAAAAATATTTCCATTAAGGCTTCCGAATTTGCAAAGCCCTGGGCTATATGATATGGCATCATTTTCATTAATTAAGACATTATGTATTTATTAATTTTTAGCAAAACAGGCAACGTAAAATCTGAAATTATTGCCTTCAAACGATAAAAAGCATTGACCGTTCAAAAAAAAGATACTCCGCAACAAACGATGCCATCACTCGGGGCGATCATTAGCATAATCTTTAATTATGTGTCACACGTTCAAGCCCCGTTAAATAAATCCTTATTTGTTTTATCCCACACGTGAACCTTCTTTCTGTCGTGTTTTTGGCATGACAACTGGATATCCATAAATGTTTTAATTTGTTGAAATAAAAGAACCTAATTATGGATAGAAAGTTGGGTTTACTGCCAATGGAATGGTCCAGTTGAGGCTTTGTGGTGAAGAAACAGCTGATTCCACCATCGCCCACAGAAAGAAGTCTGAAAGATTTTATCGTCTGATAATTTTGATAATCCTTGAGTTGACTTGACCTGGAAGTTCACAGCTTTCTACTATCAACTGTTGGGAAAGTGGCACCGTCTAGTTGAAATATTTTCGTCTTTTTTCTTCCTCCTCATCATCATCATCATCATCATTTGGCTGTTGCTGTGAACCAGTTCTTATCAGACGCGTTCTCTTTCTTTTCTGCGATTCCCTTAGTCCTCCGCATCACTTGGTCGTTCAATCGAGCCTTAAAACGTCGCCGTACAAGCCTATTAAAGGCCGTAGCTTCCCAGTGATCTCGCTGATCTGACATGTTTTAATGTTTGTCTTGAGGACTACTTTCCTTGGCTGCGTTGGCCCTTTTCCAGTTGGGAAAACATAATTTGTTTAATTGCTAAATGTTAGATCGAGGGTTTCTCTGCCGTGCTCTTTCCCCTCGTTAGTTCCAGGATGAGAATGGTACGATTTACTTTAATAATAAACGAATAAACGGAATTTAATAATAAAGTAGACGTTTCACAAATTTTTCGTTTCTTTTACATATCACAACTTCCCTTGAATTTCCCAAATATTTGCTATGTGGGGCGCATGTCCAGAAAGTAAAATTGAGTAAGTTTCCACAACGTAGGTCCTATTTGTTTTTCATTTCATTTTTCAGAAGATTTATTGTTTAAAAGGTAATAAAATATCTCATCGTTTAATCTTACTGAGCGAACCCGGGTAAGTTATACTACAGTTCGAAGTAATTAAGAAGGGCACTCGTGATGTTCAGCACAGTATACAGAGCATTCTCAAGGCAAAAAATGCTCAATTTGCCAAAATTATGCCGATCATGTCCTCATGATCGCTCAACAAAATGGCATAATGGAAAAAATTAGAGTTGGGTAAAAAAAAGTCCTATGGACGAAGTGTTGGGGCAAAATCCTTTGCAAATGCAATTGCAAGCCGCAAATCGAATTCGGTCAAAGTTGTGGGTCTGAAAAAACCAGTGCCGACTCAGAAAACACATAATATCTTAATCAGCTCGGGTAGCGGTCAGAAGCCTTCTGGCACCGAACTTAAGAAGTCGATAATGGCAAATATAAGTCCAAGCAAGCTTGGGTCCAAACCCAGCAGAATTTACGACCTCAAAGACGATAAGGTTATTACTGGATCGCATGATGACTGCTTTGAAACAATTAAAAATTCAGCAGAGGTAAAAGCTCTGAAGCTAAATGTCTCGATGGCGGACAGGGTTTACCCTAGGGTTACAATTTTTAATGTGCCCTCTGACATCAGTAAGAAAAGTCTTGTCAATGACATTCTGGACCAGAATGAATTTTGCTCGACTGAGAAGATGGTTATTGAGCCCAAATATAAGTTTGGGCCCAGGGACAAATATTTTGTGCATTGAATGGTAAAAGTCAGCCCATATTCTAGGCTTCAACTCCTGGAGAAGAGAAGTTTGTGTTTGAATTGGCACTCTTGCAGCGTGGAGGATAAGATATCCATAACTAAATGTTATAACTGTCAAGGCTACGACACACAGCCACTAAATGTAACAATCCCATTAGCTGCGGCTACTGCGCTGAAGGGCATGATTCAAGAAATTGCCCTGACATAGAGAAGCCAGAGAAACTTAAATGTACATTATGTAAAAAGGCTTAACTAGAGGACGTCAATCACAGACCAAGGGATGGCAAATGTCTGGCGTTTAAGCGGAAAATGAAGCAATTTGTGCTGCGTGTCCGATGCAATAAGTAATAATTTAGACATCCTTCTTATCCAGGACCGTTATACGCATAAGGTTGCAGAAAAATACATCTTACCGGCTTCAACTGCTAGTAGGGTGATCACACTATATTGTATTTTGTATTATGTATATCTAGCAAATAATTATACATATTTAATAAATAATGAATTTAAGCAGAAAGGGTATTAAAAAGTGGTTAGAGTTAAGGAAACAGTTTGGTAAGAGTTACTTGAAGAAGATACTAACAAATGGGTAACATTAAGTATATCAATGAACCTTTTATTCATAAAGGGCTGAACCTTAGAAGTAGAGTAATAGAAGTTATTCAAATATTTTTGGTGGCGGATCAGTCCACGGCGTTCCAGGCTTGTATTGTGATGATCAACAAGAAAATTGAGACAATAAAACTAACTCAATTCTGCAACAAGCTTTCGGCTTTGGCGTCTATTAGCTTCTGTGGAGCAAAGATAAAGATTGGCTCGCAATATTGGCCCCCAAAAGACATTTCTGACATCGAGCCATATTTGAATATGATAACACAACTGTGCGATCAGGACAATTTGCCATAGATTCTTGGAATAGGCTGAAACGCACACCATCAGTCGTGGTTTGATAGGAACAACGACGTTAGAGGAAACAGCCTAGTAGAGTTCTTGAACACTGCTAGGCTTTTTTTACTACACGATTAGCGAACATGATACCTATCACAGCGCATTGGGCAGCAGTGACATAGATATAACGGTATGTACTCTAGATGTGCTGGATAAGGCTGAGGATTGGAGGGTGTGGCCTGATACGTTCAGCGATCACAGACTTATAACTTTCGAATACACAATTGCTTAAAAGGTTAAAACAAAAATTAACATCAAAAAGGCTCCGGATATGGTTATAATTGGCTTGGGCATTCTTGAGCGCGACATTATTTGGGAGCCAAATATCGAAAATATAGATACCAGAATAAATGCAATTACTATCATGCTGCACGAAGTTGCAGAAAGATGCATCCCGATCAGGAGGATTTTCAGTAATAAGCCCATCTCGTGGAATGAGAGGCTTGAAGAGCTTAAGCTGAATGCATGTGGCGCGATCCCTGGAGTATGCCTTACAAGATGGCTGCGGAAAAAAATTAAAAAATGGAATAACTTGCTTCAGACTGTTGCATCTGAGGGTAATACCACAACAAGCTTTTATGATACTGCTGCTGAGATTCTAAATAGATTTATCACTAATGATAATCCTAACGAGGATAAAGTTGAACATAACATCTTAAGAGACCCAGCCGAAATTTACAATACTAGACATAGATACGATTTCTGAGGAAGAGGTTTTGGACTTCCTGATACATCACAACCCTAAGAGTGCATGTGGAATAGATAAGATTCAGGGAATTTTGCTGAAGACTGTTGCGCCTGCTAGAATTTACAATGAGTGCATATACTTCTCACATTTTCCTGAGGCATGGAAGAGAGGAATACTTATCACGATACCTAAGGGAAAGGCCGAGAATGATCGTTCGTCGCTAAGACCTCTGACGCTCTTGCCTATCATGGCAACGGGCCTTGAATACTTCATTAAAAGAAGGATAATTAATTCGATGGATCATGATCAGTTAAATCATGTGAATCAATTTGGTTTCATCAAAGGCAAAGAAACATAAGAGGCAATAATTGACTCTCTACTGACCGAAGTAAGGAAGCCTAATAAATACAACGCTGCAATTTTTCTCGATGTGAAGGGGGCATTCGACAACGTGTGGTGGCCCCCTATGCTGGACTCGCTGAAATCTAAACACTTGCCTGAGAAACTTCCCAAAATGATTGTCAACTATCTCCACGATACAGAAATAACATAAAATTTTGGACTTATTACTGTAAGGAAGACGTTCGAGAGAGGATGCCCTCAGGGCTCTAAGCTCGGCCCCAATTTGTGGAATCTTATTGTTGATTCTCTGCTGCAGAGATTTGAAGAACTAGACAATTGTCGTTTAATAGCATATGCTGACGAACTGGCGATCCCCACGGGTGCGAATTCTAGACCTGAACTCGAGAGAAGGATGAACCTAGCGCTTGACCTTGTCCATGAATGGGCAATTTTGAACAAATTGAAATTTTCACTCAACAAATGCACCTACACCATACACGGTACAAGAATGCTACGCAATCCCTCAGTAAAGCTGGGAGGAGAAAACATTAGCCGCTCCAGAAGCGCTAGATACTTAGGATCACTATTGATGAAAAGCTCACTTTCCAAGAACATATCAACTTTGTCCTGAACAAGGCAAAGGTGATTTTTCAATCATTACCAGTTACTACCAGTTTGACGAATCATCGCTGAGAACGATATTTCATGGTGCTATAATGCCCTTGTTCACATATGGGTGTACCACATTTCAGAACAAATTGGGGCATGACAGATTCCAGAACAAATTAAACTCCATAAGAGGTCTTGTAGCAACAACTATGATTGGCGCCTATGTCACAACATCGATAGAGGCTGCATCTGTCTTGGCAAATATTCCTCCAATGGAGCTGCTAATTATGGAAGCGCTTGATGTTAAAAGAGACAGAGCAGGCCAGAATATAGATCAGGAAGGTTTTATATTCCATGGAGAACCTAGGCTTAGTAAGATCAAGCTTAAGGGAAAACTTAAAGAAAGGACGCTACTGAACTGGCAAAGGATCTGGGACGTATCAGACAAAGGAAGAGTCACCCATAGAATGTTCCCCAATGTGATTCAAAGACAGAACAACCGCATAAAATTCAATGCCATGGGCAGTTCATGGTTCATTACAAAAGAATAGGACAAACATTAGAAGACACATGCACCTTCTGCGACATGAATGAGGCTGATAACCCGATTCACAGGCTATACAACTGCCCTGAATAAATGGTAGCACGTAGCAAGATACTCGACTTGTTGGACGCAAGTTATAACATTTGGATTCAGAGGGGAAACAAGAACTGGTTCTGCATTATCGAGGCAACCTGCATGAGGTCGACCCTGAACATCTTATGGGCTTTCTGGTAACTGAATACGCTCTGGGCATTCTAGAAGACATGGTAGCCGCAGAGATGCGCCTTGCTCCGCGCTAACTCTATTAGAAGAATTCTTTATTTGAGGAGATAAGTTAAGGAAAATTTAGGGATTACTATGTAACGAACAATTATGCAATAAAAAATGTAAAATAGTTTTATGCACGAGCGGGCGGTAAGTACTACTTACCGCCCGCGTTTGCGGGCGGTAAGTTGAACTTACCGCCCGCTATTTTCGTGTCATCAAACACTCTCGAATATTGGTGGAGGCCACTAGTTCAATTTAATCCGTGTTGTCAACTATGGAAATAGAAATAAAACAAGAATTATAATTTATTATGCACCTCAACAACTATAGTACATAGGTTTAATATTAATAGAATTTAAATATTATTATTTTTTGTTAACATACAAATTAAATATACAGTTATGTGAATTATCTATCACAACACCTCCTTTTCTTATGTGCTTATCAAGAACAACCGTATTTTCTGTATCATTTATCAGAGAAACAGGATGAGGTTCATCGTTTAGTTGTCTGGATGTTGTTTGGATCGAAGTCTTACCACTTGTTGAAGGAGTTTGGTGTAAAATTTGGTCTGCGAATTTCAATTTGCTCTCTATGGAGTCCTCGATATAACCCTCGGCAACCGTCGAGGATTTCCAACCTCCATGTCTTTTGAGAGCTAATACTTCTACGCCGCTATTTGCAAGAAGCGTCGCAGAAGTTCTGCGAAAAGCATGTCCAGTGTATTGAGAAGGATTTTGCAAATTTAAAAATGTGGCAATTTGTGCTGGCCATTTTCCTATGGTATTCTTTCCTACAACTTGATTAGTGCAAAAGCCGTTTCGAATTTTTAAGAATAACTTGTTTGATTTTGCGGTTTTTTGTCGTAGTTCGATATATTTCCTACAAATCTCCAAATAATCCACTCGCTGGTCTTCTTTACCAGTGATGGTGAAACTCCTTTGAATATTGGTTTTTGTATTGGGTATTTTAACAAAAATGAACGTTTCCTGATTATCTATGTCTTGTAAAGTCAAATTACATAATTCCTCCCTTCTGCATGCTCCAGCTACACCAAATATCATGCCTATCTACGAAAAAACAACAAATTAATTCTTTGCATTGTTAAAAACACAGGTAAATTAACTCACTTTCAAAATCAAGTATCTATCATCTGGTGCCTCCATTAGAAACCTGTATAAATCCTCCTTTGTGAAAACTTTAGATTTTTTCGGTGTATGGCCAATGTTTTTTCTTTTCAGAAAGGCAATTAAAGTTGCGTATTTCGAAATGTCAACATTTTCCTTCAGAAAAAGTGTCGCCTTCAGCATGGAATACTCAGCCCATAAGCTTCCAGGTGATTTTAACTTCTGATTTCGGTGTACAAAGTATGCCAAAAGCACTTTCTCCGAAACAGCCCAGTTTTTGTCAACGCACCACTTCTTAAAGATTTCAAAGGTTTTTTCGTACCGTTGCCTTGATTTTTCCGGAATCACAGCGTCACAACCAATATTCCAAGCATTTTCCAGCACCATAACAACCATACCAACCATTAGAAACAAGTAGTCCGGCCAACTATAATAATAATAATAATTGTTATAGATAATGTGCGGTGGTGGATAACCATGGAAATAAGAGTTGTGATTTTTGGAAGCGTTGCAAATACAAAAGTTGCCAATTTTTCATTGGGAACGCGCCTTTATAGGAGGAAGACAATTCTATTTTTGAAAATGTCAATTGGATGCCATTCTATAAATTAAGTTTTTGAACTGGAATAGCCCGATCGTGCATAAAACGTAATAAGTATTTTGGGCGTTAAGTGTCGTTAACCGCCCTCGAATATTGAAGACCTCCGCTACGCGTCGGTCTTCAAACAATCTCGGGCGGTAAACGACACTTACCGCCCTTAATACTTAAATAACTATAAGAAAGAATAATTGAATGCACAAGCCACTGTTTGTAGTATAACATACCCGGGTTCGTTCAGTAAGATTGAACGATGAGAATTTTTATTACCTTTTAAACAACAAATATTCTGAAAAACGAAATGAAAAACAAATAGGACTTACGTTGTGGAAACTTACTCGATTTTACTTACTGGACATGCGCCCGACATAGCAAATATTAGGGAAATTTAAGGGAGGTTGTGATATGTAAAAGAAACGAAAAATTTGTGAAACGTCTACTTCTTTATTAAAGTAGATCGTACCGTTCTCATCCTGAAACTAACGAGGGGAAAGAGCACGGCAGAGAAACCCTCGATCTAACATTCTTCAAAAATCGAAACATACTGTGTCATTTTAATAATAAGTGCGAGTCATTAATTCAATAATTTAAGTCAATAAAAGTCTTTGTGCTAAAATTTTAATTCCACACACAACATTCAATCAACACTACCTATATTCAATACTGAAGAGTTTTTGGTTAGTTAGCCAGTTTCCAAGCAGGTACTGAGGTCCCATACGGGAAGCTACTCAGCTATAGTTGTTTTTGAGACAATATCTCTAGATTCATTATTTCAATTTGCTAGGATATTCTCTCGTCAGGGTAGGAAAATGTTAGTAAATTCAACAAGGCCTTAATGCACGCTCTAAATCCACAAAATCAAAATCTCAAGACAAAAAGACAGCACATAATTTCTTAGGTTCTAATTTACTCTTTATCGGTCTTGTTTACAGCATGAAACGATTTTTTGTTAAATACATGAACAATGCACATGTTATAAAAAATGTTATAAACAAACAAAAAAAACATAAAAATGAAAAAAAGATACTTGTATAAATAATTGAGCTCTCAAAAACAAAATAACAATTATTCAAAGATGCGTTTGGGTGGTGGGACCCTCCTTCAGTTCTTCTTCTTCTTCCTACCCTACTACGATGGCAAAAATCAGCGGTTCCCAAACTGGGGGGCGCGCCCCCCTGGGGGGCGTGAAGCAACATTAAGGGGGGCGTCAGTCTTCTAAAAAATTAATACAAATTTTAAGATTTAAAATAAAAAATCAGTTAAAATTTAAAAAAAGATGTCTACAATCTGGCAACAGCGCATACCTAAGCCAAACTTTGCCATGGGATAATTGCTACAGCGCACGCTCGCTGCCCACTGTCATGCCCATTCCTCCCCTTCTAAAGTTCAGAACTGCTTTCGGGTGCCATCCCTTAAGCGCTCCCGAGTTACTCCGAAGTACTCCGGCTACAGTTTGACCCGTTCGGTTTCAAGCGTTCGAGTGCAAAACGCATGGAGTATAACAAGTCACTGACGGGTGTGAAATGTTCTAAGAACACCCGAAAACGTCTCTGTTCAGGGTCCTTATTCTTGAAACAGGGGAGCAGCGTTCCCAGGAGAACGAGTGTTCTATCTTTGTTACTTATATTGTCATTTGCATATCATTGAGAAAGACGGAACATTCGTTCTCCTGGGAACGCTGCTCCCTTGTCTCAAGAATAAGGACCCAGACGAGTTACAGTAAGTAAAATGTTTTTGTATAATGGGGCAAGGAAGGGGGGCGCGACCACTTCTTGATTTCAGAAAGGGGGCGCGGAAGAAAAAAGTTTGGGAACCACTGGCAAAAATAGAACAGGAACTTAGTTTAAGCACTTATATCGTGGTTGTCAAACATCTTTTTCAAGATACATCCAGAAGCTGCGCTTGCGCACTTTAGTGGGCTTTGAATTTCTGCCTGAATATTTGCATTCGTCGGAAGATGACTAGCGTGATATGGGTAGTATTCTATATTTTCTAGAGGTATTTCATTGAGAATTTCATACATTTGTCAAAACTGGTATTCCAACAATAAATTGACATGTTTTGATTGTTGATTTGAACCAATCAGATTGTAATTACGCGATAATTTGCACTAGTGCAAATTATCAGATAATTGCATACTAACTGGTGCGAAAACTGGTGATTTGACATTTTTTGACAAAAAATTTAAATTTTTGATTTATGAAATTCTCTCATTAAGAACAACTCGTGCAATAGAAATATATTTATAATTTTCGACAAATTTGCACTCATGCGTTTTTAACTGAAAAAGTCACTCGTGCATTCGTGCAAAATGCATTCGGGCAAATTTCCCAAAAATTATCAATAATTTCCATTGCACTAGTTATATTACTATTGAGAATTTCATACATCTGTCAAAACTGGTATTCCAACAATAAATTGACATGTTTTGATTATTGATTTGAACCAATCAGATTCTAATTACGCGATAATTTGCACTAGTGCAAATTATCAGATAATTGCATACCAGCAATGGGGGGTTTATTTGAAACGTGCAATTCAAATACGTCTGACTAAGTCGCAATTTTTAGCGGTGAAGTTCACATGTGGCTTATTTGAAACTTTCGTCGACGCATTTCGTTAAATTCGTTGACGCAAGATTGCCTTTGACATGCGTCACCTCTAGAGCTCGTGAATTTCCAAATTGCACGCAAAAGTTTCTCAAAAATGTCAGTTTAGTGAACAAATAATATTCTAGGCCTCATGGAATTCGAAAATATTGTTAATTTAAATGCTCTAGAAAGGGCCCAATTGTATAACCATAACCGCAAAGGCTTCAGAAATCGGAGAATTGATGCATGCATTAACAATGCTTAGGTAACGACAGGGAATTTATAAAAAACTTTCGACTTTCAAAAAAATGTTTCGAGATTCCTTTCATGAAAAGGAGTTCGGAAATTTTCCCGACAAAAGGGTCGGTTTGTTCAAAAAATTCGACCAAGAGTTCTTTCTGTTTT